AAAAGGATCTGTAATAAAGAAGCAAGTCATTTTACTCTATTTCATTATTAATATCACTACATTAAATAAAAATTCTATAGAAATTAAATACATACATGAATATCGAAAATTGTTTTATATTGCTCAGTTTTTATTCGTAATAAATGAAGTTGAAAGTATGTTTATTATTTCTGTATATATATTGCCGATATTCTATATAATTCTTTAGTAATGTGCCAAATAATATAAAATCTACGTCGCATAGGTTTGTTGGTATTTATAAATTTAAAAAATATAACATCTTCCATTTTTATACTTAGAATGCTTACATTACAAATGTTAAATATAAAAACAATAAATATGTTTAAATACATAAAAAGAAACATAATTTATTGAGTATATACTCCTACATTCATATAAAGGAGATTGGCCAAACTTTTTCCGCTCTAAACTAATATTATTATAAATCGATAATAGTTTATTAAATGTAATTCCTTTTATGCTGGCCGTTCTATAGCATGATGTAAAAATTGCATCTCGGACTGTGAGAATTTTTGAAACTATTTGGTGCACAGCGTAATGGTCGAGCGTTATCATCATTATAAGAAGTTATCTTGAAACAGCGGTCCAAAATTGCTTTAAATTTTGTTGATGCAAGTTGCAGCACAGTAGTTTGCTGATGTTTGGTAGTTGGGTCCGACGATTTATCCATCCCGCAGCCGACCGCAATGACCCTATGTCCGCAGGATTTTGCCGCTGCGATTCATGGCAGCACACCATCCGCGTTACATATGCCTCCTCTCATCCCCTAGTGCTAATGACAATGACCTGATGTCCAACCAGCAGGACAACGACGCGAACCGCAGTCATTTCCTGATGGTCGTCGCAAAAGAGGAAGCATTTTTTCAAATTACTTTCATAGTCCATCATTTATATAGTTTGCCTTCACCGGTAATGGTGAAAATACTAACAACGCTGCTTATAAAATAAAAGAAACAACTTCGCATATACATTAAATTGTATTCAGCACCAGCACCTACGGTAATGAAAACTCAAATCTATGTGGGTCAGGTTGTCTGGCTTTTTCTCCGAATTATCAATAAACCTCACGTAATAGCATTTTTCCAAATTACATTCTCATCCAAGGTCATAAGACCATTTTCTAATTAAAAAAAAATTGTTTTTAATCTTCTCATTGTATCAAAATGTTAATAAATTCAAAATGTTGTATAAAAGACTTTTTTTATTTTTATCTATTTCCCAACCAGGCGCATGGATTATTTTTATACCTACAAAGGATGTAACGCATGGTGTGATGAACGTACCGGTAAATAAATAGTGGTTCGGTTAATTGCGGAAGGACAAACTAGATTGAGTACACATGCATGAGTATTTTTACTTTGTAATATGTTTTTTTTTTAAATTCATTTACATTTTATTTAAATGAAAGAAAATGTAAATGATAACTAAATGCTTAAGTCGCTCTTCTCACGACCAATGGAATTCGGTTCGATTCGAGTCATCGTTCAACATGAATGGACAATAAAATGAATGAGATTCAGCATATGAATCTCCGTCAGTCGATGGACAATGACAGTATTGGAATCTCAGAGCGTCAATATACTACTGAAATTAGCCTACCTACAAGACGATTGTCAACCAACAAATTAAAGAAGAAAATAATGGTAAAAACTGTTTGCTAAAACACAAATATCAACCGTCATAATATATAATATATTGCATAGTTATTAAAACAATATTTTCTATATTGAATAAAGTTTTTGATAGTGTTCTAAATATAAATATTTTTATATCATAATTAAAGTATAAAATAAAACAGCTTCATACTGAGAGAAGTGGTTGTTTATTTAATAATCTCTAAACTTCTGAAAATTCCTCTAATTGCCAAATTCAAATTGGAATTAATTTTTCATATAATAATTATTAATTGTATATTTGAAACGTTCAAAATATGATATGATTAATTTTAGTTGTCGATCGATTTATTCTGAAATATTGAAAAACTTTTAACAAAGAACAATGGAAGAATGAAAAAGTATAATATTTCATGAATGCATAAAAGGAAGAATTAGATTAGATTTGGGCGTGGAATTCTTGTTCGGAAACGAATTACTTATTTCGCAAATATTTGTGTCCCGGGTCCAAGCTCTCCGAATTAATTAAAACGTTTTATGAACTATCCCAGTCTACAGTGGCTTCCTCCGACGGTAGTTTCCGTCCCGCTTTACTTCTAATTAATGTTTTACGAAGGGACAAACGGTGATATTTTATGGCAACGTTCGGTGTCGTTTTATTTATGGCACCAGCGTTCCCGGATATTATAAAATGCAAATTTAATTATTAATTGCAGCGACGGAGCGCAGCCCACGAGAGCGTGAAATTATTGGCGGATGCGCCGGGCACCATTCATCTATCTCTTTGGGTCTTTTTGCTCCGTTCCTTATACCTTACCTTGGTTAACAAAATTTCAATCGCCTCATTTTGTCGCTTCATCGTATACAAATTCTGATGTTATTCTGCATTAAGAATCATTAAATATTGCTTTTAGTTTTCTAATATGATTCTATCAATATTTGATTGCAACTAAGATCAAAGAAATTGGTTCATCCGGACGTTATTTTTTTATTCGGTGGTTGCCCTGAGCGCAGGTCAAGTGGGTTAAAGGTTTGAGATCACGCAAGTGGCGAAGTTGAACTTTCACCTCGTACCCTACGCTATTCCCTTTTTCACTTCTCATACCTCATCCTAATCGTTTCAATAACTGATCCAAAAATGTGTAATTTCTGCAATTGATTATTTCGTTGACGTACATTTTTCTAAGTTGATCCCTGCCTAACGGCTCCTTGAGATCCAGTGAAACTTGCGGTAATCTAGATTAGGTGAAATCCGCCCAGCATCCACGATCCCTTCCATTATGTATACCCTTTATAAATTGAGCTCCTTCCCCTGCAACTAGTCTGCGTCGCATTTTAAAATAAGATATATTTCCGGGATCCTTTTTTGTGCGCCCTCGACTAACGGTGTGTACTTTTTCCTCATCCTTGAGAAAAAACCCGCAATTTTTTATCATTGCCAATTATGTATCTAACGTTGCTCCCATTTCACACCTCGCTGTCTCTGCTTCTGTCTATTTACGTTCACCGGCTTTACCGCACTTATCATTTCTGAGGAGACAAGTAACGAATTTGCTCCAAGGATATTATTGATTTAGAGAGAAACATCTCTGGTGCAGCCACCTGCAGCAGCTTGTATATCCCTCGACGAATGGCACCCTTCTCACTCTGTAATTTTATTCCCGTTACAGATAGAAATTAACAACCACCAACTCACATACTTCCCCTTCAGATATTATTTTGTGTTACTCTTCTATAAATAAAAAGAGTTTTATTAAAAATGTACATAACCCGTTTCGAGTCAATATAAATTTCCTTTTTAAAATAAATGTAATATGTAATATTTTATAACAAATAATGTATTCATTAACTAGTTTATTAAGTTTTTTATTTGCAAAGAGAGGAAATAATTCTGAAAAAGATGGAGTAGTTGTTGATTGAAAGACTTTTCGTTGAAAGAAACATCCTCCAAAGACAGCGCAGCAGATGATCGAACTCCTTAGGGAGTTTTAGTGGTGGAGAAATTTAAAAAAAGAATTAAGGGTAGATATCAAACTTTGCATCTGCCAAACTTTGCATCTGCAAACAACGAATGGCGAAGGTAGATTAAAATAAACTATCATTTATTGATTATTTTATCGTTCATACAGACATAAAGAAGAAATATTTATTTTTATAATTTTGATTATAAAAATATTTAATTGCAATTGATGAATTGATTTCAATAGCCTTTTGTGTTAAGTATAAAATAAATAAATCGTATTCTAATTATTTATAAACTGTCTTATAGAGAATATTTGCTTAAGTAATTAAATTTCTGGGCGTCCGCCCACCGCGCTTCTATGATAGAAGGGTTTAAGGGACGATCGAAGGACTTTCATTTTATGACCTAACAATAAGAACAATGGAAATAGGGCCACGCTATCCTCCCTTTATGCCCACCTGTATACAATAATCCTGCAAGATTCAGACTGCTTTTCTTCATAATTAAATGCTTTTGTCTTGTTTCGCCGCCCACATACACGCACAAATACAGACGCATGCAAGACGTTTATTCGTGGGAAGGCGAAACCCTTAGCTCGCTGCCTGTATTATCTTAATTAACTCCACTAAGCAAGGCCTAATTTATTTATGGTCTCGTATGCAGGAAACTCCGAGCAGGGAGTTGGTGTGAAAATTAAACGCTTTTCCGTATGCGCAATTTCATTTGTGTGCATATATATATATTTTTTTTCGGTACTTCTGGTTTTTGTTTGTTAAAGGGCTTTCAGTGAGTCCAACTGAATGGTCATGCTTTTTTTAATTGATTTAGCTCATGTCGTTGGGGCCGGTGCGAAAGAATAAAAAAAAAATACGTTTTCACAGCGAAATGCGAAGTGATAAAAATTTACCAACTCGGACAGACGGGCTGACGTACGAAACGGAAAACGAGAGAATATGTGCATTCATGCATACTATATATATCTTTTTTAAATTTGTTGTGATAATTGATGAAAGAAATAAGTAATATAAAAGCTCTTATTATGCTTCACATCATAGAATATCTTATTTATATTAAATAGTCTCTTTTTGTCGGAGAAGAACAGAATAGTGTTGGTATGTAGGATCCTTTAATGGAGAATATATTTCGCAAATAGAAACATCTGAGTTTTCTACAACTTTTTATGGTTACTTAGGTGCCCCTGTGTCGGCAGGTGGAATATTTATAGTGACTCAACCATTCGCTTGTCGCGTTTTCTTTACTGTTCCCTGTCTGGGGTCTTTATTAAATTATACATGCCCTTAGGCGTCCAACGTTTGGTTCCTTGTGCATCAGATGGACGCCTCAGGTGATTCGAATACACCAGTTTTCTTCGTTTCTTAAGCATCACATGTTGCATGTTTCAGATGGGATTGTTGCTCACGTCCAGGCCATCGTTAAAGGAACGGCCCTTCTGCCTTGCGACCTCACACCACCCACACCAAATGACAGCATTGTGCTCATAGTCTGGTACAAAGGAAAGCACACACCCATTTACAGGTAACTATCTTCCATTATCTACTTTATACTTAATTTAATACCATTGGAACTAAGTTAACATTTCGATTCCACAAAAATACAAAATACATGTTCTCTATTTTTAATTTACCGTAAACAATTCTACAAAACATAACTAATGAATATAACTTACATACAAATTAAGACACTAGTTTATTATTAAAAATATAATCTAACATATAATCTCGTCTAAACTGTAATATTATTATTTTGTTGTTGAAAGGGATATTAAGAAAGCAAAAGAAGAAGTTGTACCAAATGTGAGCATCAATTTGCACAAAAGATTACGTCTTTTCTATTATTTTTATATGATGTTTACAGAAACTTATAAAGAAGTAGAAGATTAAAGTCGAGAAGTGATTACAATAAGTGACGTGCGCTTTATCTATGATATCCAAATGACATATAAAGGAATAAACATTGCGAGCGCATCATAAACCTGGAAGATACAAATATAAAAGAGACAGAGATATTTGGTATTTAGATTAGTGCTCTTTGTTAGATGTCAGTAACACAAATCCTAAGCTACCTTTTCAGTATAGCCCATATTATAAACGTAATCCCCAACAAGAGACGGTCATATTTTAGCGAAGTACGCACGCAGCGTACATAAAGGAAAGGACTATTAACTATCCGCGTTATTTTTCATAGCAAATGCCTCCGTCAGCCCTTTCACCCACTGTTTTGGGGTCGGGGAAACCCTCCGTCTGGCGGCTGCATTACATTCCACGAAAATCTTTGATAAATGATTGCCCATCAATTTATGTTCATGCTAACGCCTCCAAACACCAGCTTTGTACATCATATTTTTGCAATTGACAAATGGCCAGTGCAGCTCGCCCGTTCCTTTGTGACGCATATTTTAGAAGAATGTGTATATAATATACTTATATTTACTCTAAGCAATTCATCTGAATCTAAAAATGTCATCTGCGCACAATATATCCAATTCCTCAACTCCATTAGGATAATACAATTTATAGTTTTGTTAAACTTTAGGATTTCAATTTCTGAAATTTAATTTATAATTTATATTGTTTACTAATCGTGTTTTAAATATTTTTTTTATTTATTATGTCATATTATCATATTAATTTTGTAATCTATTCCTGCGAACATTAATTAAATCTAGTGGCGGTAGACATTTGTTTTTTTTTGGTAAACTTCCCAATAAAAGTTTTTACCATTATATTCATCTGCGATTTACTGGTTGGATATAGTCTTGCAGGTTAATTTCAGTAGTATATTGATACTCTGTGATTACACTATTCCAGTATCTGCTGCTATCCTTAACAGTCAGTGGCCATTGACTTGGTTTGAGGTCCATATGCTGAATCTCATTCATTTTACTGTCAATTTTATGATGAACAATGGCCCTATTACTGCAAGCACCCAGAGGGCTCACAAAAGGCCTGGCTTGAACAGGATCCGAACCGGCGTCCACGAATCATATTTGTGTTTACTTAAGTTAATGAAAGTCGATTTTTTTTATGAAAATATATATATACGCCTTTGAATATTTCTTCAAATGCCGCAATAACGTTTCAATGTATAGTATTATGTAACAGCTTTAGCTGATTGTTAAACGGGCAGATATGTATACTTCTGCAAGTGATTTAAATGAAGGGATTCTTGGTTTCCATATTGCATAATTCGTTTTGCGGCGTTCTACGATGGATGCACGTATGCAGACCGAAAAAGACCTATCCCTATGCTCTATATACAGAAGCGTACACCCGTCGAGATTTTCCCGTAGGGAAATCTTGGTCCAGACACGTTGAAATCAGCAAGAGGTATTTGGGTGGTCGCAGGTTATAACCTGGGCTCCGCAAACCATTGGCGCAGAATGATCATCATCACGATCGTCGCAGTATTTGCTAATTTGTTCAAGTATATTTATTGGGTCATGGTCATAATGACATTTTACCCGGTGGAGTACGGCTTGGACACTTTGTACGAGAGCGTAATTGAGATTTATCGATCAAGAGTTTGCATAAATAAGAAAACTTTTGGAGGCCGTTTATGAAATATTGATGAAGGCATTCGTTCCGTTGCGAAGGGCGGCGCTACTCCCACACCCCATTTCCATCACCAATCCCCCCTTACTCCCTTTTCCACCGATGTACACAATGTTGAACAGGATGTATTGTGATTGATGGCCGCCGTCCCCCCTGACGTTCCGCGACGGATTAACCAAACAATGAGATTATAGCGTTTTAACGTACCGAGAGGAGGAAAGTTTAATTGCGCATCAAAATTCAATTTCGCTTCGGTGATATTCTGCTGAATAAAAGAGTATCCACATAATTGACATCCTGCAACTTGCCTATTATTACTAAAATTTTATTATTCATCGTCAAATTCGTTTTTCCATTTTATTTGAATACCAAAATAAGAATAAAAGGTGGGACAGGTCATTTGTCTGCACTGAAAACACGCATAACGCTTCATTAATTGCTGTGAACAATATATTTCGTTCGTGTACATTATGTAATGCTATCAACAACATGACTAGAGACATAAATGTGTCTGTCAGGCATACCAACTATTATTGATCATCAAATGACAGCAACACTTATCAAGCTTATATATATTAGTTAACATTGCTGATAGACATTTTATATATTATTAAAGTTGAGCCTCGGCTACACTAATAACCCCATCAAACGCTTAAATTTTGACTGGCATCAGGCGTCGACAGGACGCAGCTAAGTGTAGTGAGGCTCTTCATTGCGAAGGATTATTAAAGTTCATATAATGTCAGCATATTTGAATTTGGTTTTTATATATTATCTTTTATATTTTATGAAGCAAAATACAAGTATATTAAGCGTGAACACAAACATTTATTAGAAATACATATGATAGAGATTATATATTTGAATATAAAATTCAATAATAGTTTGATTTAAAACAAGTTATTAGATAAAACAAGATAGTAATTTTAACTTAAAACATGTATCTATTATCAATAGAATCAAGTTAATACTTTATATACTTAATATAGACTGAACAGAGAAATATATATGAAAATAATAATAATAAACAAAAATAGAGTAAATGAATCTAATAAAATTGATTTGCTTATGATTAATATACGATACTTTATACTAAATGATATGCTGTTATATATTGTAATCCATTTCCTCCGGTAAGCGGTGATTCTCGGTCACGTAAATATCCGTGACCTGGCTACAGCCCCAGCGTTTTCATTGAGCGACGTGAAACTTTGATTTAGAAGTACTACTTTAAGTTCAAACAACTTTTAATATACGTTTATCGTTTGAGATTAAAGTATTCAACTATTTAAGTGGTGTTGGGCATAGAGTTCAAATTTCAAGTGAATTTTCTTCATAGAATATTATTTTTTTTAATTAGACAACAAATATGATTTTCATAAATTGTATTTCGAACACGTTCACAATTTATTTAATAATTGGTAAATAAACGATAGAAACATTCTAATAGTTTGTTCATAAAAAAATATCATTTTTTTGTAATTTATATAAATACAAAAAAAAATAAACGTGACTCAGCCGAATGGTTGAGCAAGTGAAGCTCATCATCTTTAAATTACTTTTTTCAGCACAATTAATACGATCCCACTTTCTAAAGATCCCACACACTAAAATACAAACCATGCAAACATAATAGCCACGAAAGTAATCCTACGTAAACGAGACGTTTTTAATAACAATTATTGTTAAGAAGAATTAATTAATTAAATTGTGAGCGCTGGTTGAAACTTCTATTTGGGAAAGTTTACTAAAATATTTTTTTAATTAAAATTGAATCGAGATAATCTTTTTTTTTTTACAAAATATTATTAATACGGATGCAATAAACTGAAACGTTTCAAAATATATTGCAAAATGAAAAGGTAATTCAGCTGAAAGTTATTTCAATTGCAAATGTATAATTTAAAAATGGATGGATGTATTATCTGAACATAGATAAAATAAGAAATTGGGCATTTGCTTCAGTAACTTCCGTAACAAAGGAAACAAAATATGTAAACATAAAAACGAGGGTGAACCCCCTTCGGATGATGAATAGATTCCGCTTGGCGATTGCAGAAATGTATTTCTCGGATGACTTGCATCATCGGCAGACGTGAAGTATAAATTCTGCATGATTTTCAATTATTTTGGACCGGTCGGTGAGTCATAAAACATTTTGATGTTATTAAATGATACTAATGTATCGAATGGACTTTAATTAGTAGGGATGCCGTTCCCTGTTATTGATCACGGAATGAAATATGAAATTTATGCGATCGCGTCGCACTCGCACATTTTTTTCCATTTTACGATCGAGCTCTTTTGTTCCGGTCAATAATTAAAAAGCGCGGTGTAGACCGTAATTGAAATCGAGCCATCTGCAGCAGAGGGCGAAGATTTAATAAGCACGTTGTGTACATGGGGCGAACAGAAGACAATGTCTCCGCGACACCATGCATAATTCATACACCTAAATAAATATAAACCTGGATGGATGATATCATCATCTAGTTAGAGCCCGGAGATTACATCGCACAATTTACACAGAATAAGAAATAACCAGAAGGCACGAAAGAGAGGATGGTATAAAAAGGAGAGGGTTAGAGATGCAGAAAGACGCGTACAAACAGGAAAAAAAGGATAATATCCGTCCTGGACAATTAACTAAGAGATTATTTTTTTAATATTTACAAATATAAACTAAGCTACCATTGAATAATAAATAAATGTTTTCTGCAAATGTGTAGACACAACGAAAATCACGAACATTAAAACGAGATTATGCCTTGAATTTAAATGGGGTCCAATTACGAGCCGATTTATTATTCCATCTCAGATTGTATGAAATATGCTTTTGTTTTGGATCATACATTGTCGGTGCCGATCCGGTCCAGCTGCATGGCTGTATCTTTTGAATTCCGTTGAAAGGTTTTCGAACGGGATGATAAATTACGAAGGTCTTATTTAAAGACCGCTCCATCA